CCTATCGACTTTTTCAATTTGATGTTTCTTCCCCTCTGTGAAGCCTGAAGTCAATTAAAGGGCTAATGATAACCATCAAAACGCCTGGCATTTGATATAAATAAATAAATAAAGTTTCTGTCATAGGGAAGAAAGCATATAGCCATTTACCTACTTAAGTTGAAGATTATTTAAAACTACTGGACAAGAATCGAAAAATTTTTCAAGGGATGTTATCGAGATGCCTCATTAGGACAATTTTCTAATATTTTCAACAGTTGGATATTTACTCTACGTTTTCTAATGCTTATTCTCATGATAGAAAGTGTATTATTTTACCATAACAAAAATATTAATATTCCGATTCCTCCGCTGCTGATAAAAATATTGATCCGAGACCATTAAAGTTTTAACTTTAATTAAAAGCAGTATTTTATTAAGTTGGGAGCGAGAGGTGGAAACGAGCTTTTAAATTTATTAAATACATGATCATAGCGATATATGCTGGTTAATAAATTTTGAAATACTCCACCTTTCATTTACCATAAAGGTAGATTTTTTGGCCATATTTCTTAAGCACCCTTTTTTAAATGTCAGGTTTTAATATACGTTTACCTGTTATGAAGCATCATTTTTTAATGCGCACGCGAGATTCGCTGATGCTGAGTTAATAGCTGAAGAACAATAATCAAAAGAAAAAAGAAAATAAAACAGACTAAAACATTCCATTTTAAAATTAAATCACAACCAACTGAATTTTTAGCTTCATAGCATTTATTAATGTTACCATGGTGTTTTTGCATGATATTTTCAAAGAATATAAAATTTATGAATCGCGCATAAAATTGATAAATGAATTTTTCATAATTTAATTTTGTAACGTTAAATAAAAGAAATACTTTTCTTCCGATTACAAATGAAGGAAAAATGCATCGAACTATGTAATCACTAAATCATCCCGTAAAATAAATCACAGATAAATATGTTAAGTCGTTTATTACCATGATTTCGAACTTATTAACCAACAATTAAAGTTGCATTCACACCAGTTTTATTTCTAATTCTGAAAATTTACGATTATTTAAACAAATTTCACCGCAATAGGGCATTCAGTTGGCCTTTCGCAACGCGTAGATCTGCGCCTTTCATTTAAATAAATTTGTAAGTACAATGAACGAATTTTTTTGGTTAAGTCGGTATATGAATATTTTTTCTTGAAGCTTTGGCCTGTGAAATTAACTCCGATAACCTATATCGTGAGGTTGTTATGGTACCTTAATGTGGGCTTTTCCGAGATTTACCAAATAAGGGCGAATAGAATAAGTGCCGTTTCATTAAGGAACTGCAATATTTATCTCAAACTTTATAAATGCAGTTTAATTTTTGTGATTTTATTGTAAGTTTACATTCCCTCCCCACAAGATTGCAATACTTTTACTCCAGCACCCCTATTCGAGGAGGTATCACTGTCGGAGTAGCACATTTAAGGTGGCTAGATACATGTGAATAAGGGCAGTAGGTTTATTTTTTCCCTCTACTTAGTTAGCTTTTATATACACTACTTTCCATTTTTCGTTCAAATTTACCCGCACCATTTGTAAATCTAGAGAATGTCGTCGTCATCTAGACTGGTGCAGGATTCTCCCGTTTCCCCCACTCGCGTTCTTCGACGAAACGCATCTGACGTTATTCAGGTTGACACTATTGATGTTGATGAGGAACCCCTTCAAAAGCGTAATCGCTCTTCCCAAGAGCTACCTTTTTCAAGTCCGCGTAAAACAGTAACGGTTACTGTTAAAGACAACGAGGTGGAAGAGTTTTATGCCCCTAGTAATGCTTCCTCAAATAGCTCCAATTTATGGAACGGTCTTACCATACCGGAAGGTGTATCAATTCCTGATAAAGTGATGGCAATTATCGATTTCCTTCGTGATCGGCGTCGACGACCGGACGAAAATATAGTGATATCGGGCGCTGAGCGATATTTAAAATTGTCTTCGTGTGAGATCCTTGATGTATTAAAAGGATTGATTGAGTCTGATCGTATAATTAAAATCAAATATCCCTCGGGTTATTCCTACCGTTTTCCCACTAACCGATCTTCATCGAAGAAATCGATTCCTACTACCTCAGCTTCTAATAAGACACAGACTAAGTCTAAAGCTACAACTAGAAATTCTGCAAGTACTAAAAAGTCAAGTCAAAATGGAGGCTTTATTTCATCAAAGAATCGTTCAAGCCCTATTTTTGGCGTTGCTGAAATTAAGGCTGTTCATTCTTTTTCGAAACTCATCTCGTCTAATAAGGGGATCGTGCGGCCTTTGAAAATGACCCCTAACGGGAGATCTCCAGTGTTCGACAAGATTGAGTCGGCTCTTTTTAACGGCGAATCTATCTCGAGTGAGTATTCCTTTTTAACACTTTTTGTAGTGCCTTCGTAAAAGGCTAGCTCACTTCAATTACTCTCTTTTAGGCGGGAAGACATCAGTTCCCGGTGCTTCAACATATGATATTCCACCACCAACCCCTCTTACCTTAGAAACTGTTGAGAAGTTACTAAAAAATCTTCCACACTTAATTGGGGTAAGTGTACATGCCTGATAGGCCAACCCCTCCCCCCATTGGTTCTGGGATGCAGGAGATCATGAAACCGATATTCATTGGTAATCACTTGGTGAAAGGTTTGTCCATCCGAATTGATAAAACAATAGATCGCGGGTGATTCTCAACCGATGCGTTTCTACTCCATATGTGCATCGAAATAGAACGTTATTACTGAAATATTCCATGGTGTCTTCTGTTAAAATTTCCTTTTTGCTGTTAGAAAGTTCAGAAGGATGTAAGTGTGAAATGTAAACGGAGCCTTCCGGTGTGTTAGCTCAGGTGTGTTCATTGTTAATGCCATTTATTTTAAATCTAACCGTGTAAATTAGAGTGATTGGAACAACCCAATGCATTGATTAATAAAGGACACAACAATTTGCCACTACTCAATCACTATCAGATCTCATTACTAAATGGAGAATGCTTAATTTTGAGCTCACAATTGAAAATCTATGGAGCAAAGATCTAGAGTACTGCCATCGAGTACATTTTTCAAGTGTTGGCTTGCACTTGTGACTCATTGTTAACACTCATCAGCAAAGTCAGTGGTCACGAAATCGATGTTTTACCAAGTCAGCGACAGCCAGTCATGTTTATAAAGTCCGGCCGATAAAGGGGATGGCAGGATTTGAGTCCCTTATCAGAAGGCCTCATTATCGTAGCCTTAACCCAAGATGATAGTTGGAATCGCTTTCCTAAATGGATAGACCAAACTGAGTTCTAATTAAGATTGATGCGATTTCACTCCAAATATATGCTTTAGTTTGAGTTTCTCAATTGGATAAATTTTGAATTAAGTTCTAGAAAATACCCTTAGTGCGTTCTGCTCTAGGGATACTTTCAAAGTACCGAGGTTTTATCGTTTGATGAGCATTCATAGTAATTTAGAAGTCACGGATTCGATTCCCTAGTGGGTATAGTGGCGAGGCGTATTGGTCAAATCTGACTAATGGAGTGCCAGAATTTAAGTCTCGCCTTCAAGGCACCATGATATCACTCCGCCTTAGATGAGGTTTGGAAACCTCATTTTTAAACGAACTCGGAAATTACTATTAAAGCCGCCATTGTGGAACTTTTCACCAAATCTAACGAGTCACTGGTTTTCTCATTGTTCTTGGTTGTTACTCATGGCGTAGCCCGTACGTAGCGATATTTATCCCGATGAGTATCGTGGAGACGTATGTTATGAGCGTCGAGAGCACGTTTTCAGCGATTGTAAGTTACGAAATCGATGCACATCATTGGTGATGTTGATAGCCTAACACAGTTTCTCGTAAGGGTAGAACCAAGATCACTGCCCAATCTCAGTGCTATTAGCACTTGTCACAGTACGTTCTTTATCAACAACCAAAGGATAAACAATCGATTAAAATATGACTGGTTGCCTAAGATTAGTGCCTGATTAGTTCGTCCAATTAATTTTTTAAGTCACTGCGTGCTTTATCAATTTTTTAAGATACATTACTTATCAATAAAGTTACTCACCAAATCTGACTACTGCGGCCACCTAGACTCTGATGCTGTCCACCACAAAAGTCCTTATTTTTCCCACTAAAATCATATCGATTACTAATTGGGTTGATTTCAAACAACTGACTTGATCGAGTATTATCTCTCTTTGAACTCAGTTTACCTGTTCGCTGTCACAAAAACTTTTACTCCCTCTCTCTTAATTCATGCGCTGCTTTTTCTGTTATTCCACCTTTTGGTTTTAATCCTCGATTTCTTTCTGTTACAGTCATCCTATTGTAATTAGTCTCTGTCTCAAATTTTCTTATTAGGTTTGTTGGGACTGAGCACTTCTTGGATAGCACGAAGTTATGTTGTCGAACGGAATGAAGTGGCTGTATCAAAAGTGAATTGCGCCTAGAAACCAAATAGATAAACAGTCCTATCCACATTTTTCATAGACTAACGAACTTGGGTTGGTATCTTCCAGAACGCATGATGGGAAGCCACTTAATAATCAGTTCATGGGAACATGGTACTTGTAAACGGAGGTGTGGTGTTTACAGTATAACTACCAAAATGCCTAATGTTACGTGGTATATATCAAGTGTAATAAGTCAAGTAACTCAAATTATTAGAGTATACCAGGGGTTGTTTTGAAGTCGCTCGCATCCAATTTTAATGCAAAATTACGACAAGAACACTGGCTAAGAAGAGTAGTATCTGAGTTTGTGTTCCCTTAGTAGCCGTTGTTTTCAACATCAGCAAACGTTTTTATTGTGTTGCTTTATTATAGACAAAAGTGAATGAAGTTGATGTGAAAGCCCCTCTACCCCAGAATGGTCGCCTGCGGCCTAGAGGCAATTCTAACGCACCTTCTTCTATTTTTATCTTCTCTCGACCCGCTGAAGGCCTCGTTCAACTTGTCATCCATTCTAATGGTTCCCGACTCCGCAACACATTCAGTTTGCAGGCATGTTCTCTTTCATTTTGATTTAAATAATGTTTATGGGTTTGTAACCAATATAATAGTCGTCAGGCTGGTAGGGGCAGCTTTTTAGTATATCATATGACCCAGTTTAATTTGGAGATCAAGTACTGGCTCGTTTAATCTTTTTTGTGTTTGGTGAGCCAGATATGGAAGTCTTTGCAGCAAAAAACACTTTCATGGGCATTAATGATGCCAATGTAATTTTATTTTATGAGATATGTACCTTGTGTAGTATAATGTGATAGCAATTCATGAGCTTCAACCATCTGGGTACAACTGACGGCCTTATAATACTGTGGTCTTTTATGCTCAATTTCCCTTTAAGTGGATATTTACGTCTTATAGTGTTTGCTGTTTTTTCCTGCCTATGTCGGTGCAGGAAAAACATGGGAAAAGTCTAAATAAGAAAACATAAGACGAGTTCAGTAGGTTTAAATCGTTCCTCTTCGAATAGTTTGTATCTAACAGACATGAGGACGAGGGTGAAGTGAGCTTATGTTATAATTGCGATAAGAATTGCGAGGTTTGCTCTTTAAAGTGTATCAGTCATTCTTCCATATCTATTTAACTATTCAAGTGTATCTTTGTGTTTTGTCATCGGTGGCTAACTGAATGGCGTTTTTAATATATGTAGATTCCTTTGTAAGGTTTAAGCTACCGATAGTCATCTTGTGTTACTTTTCTAGGTACTAAAAGAGCTAACGGATGCTTTGGACACCTTTGTGTCCGATCCTCAGATCCGAGCGATATTAATCTCAGGTGCCGGTAGCGTATTTTCATCCGGTGTTGACCTACATTCCCTCTCCAAAACGCCAAATAAATTCAGTGATGAGAACAATTTCGTTGACACTTATGTGGGGGTGTTGCGAAAATTCCTTCTTACTCTCTCTTCTTACCCAAAAATCCTCATTGCTGGTGTTAATGGACCGGCTGAGGGATTGGGCATGGCTGTATTGCCTCTCTTCGATTTGGTCTATGCAAGTGATATTTCCTCCTTTCACGTCGCATATACCACATTGGGACAAGTGCCTGAAGCTGGCGCCAGCTATACTCTAGCGTCGAAAGTAAGCTTACCGGTGATGAATGATCTCCTTTTGGCTGGTCGACGTCTTACTGCTCGTGAGGCGCATGAATGTGGGCTCATTTCTGATGTACTCTTCCCTAAGAACTTTGCTCAGGAGGTCGTCTTGCGATGCGCTAGAATTGCTACTCAGTCCGTTTCGGTTAGTTTTTTGTAATGAACTTGTATTGGTTAAGTAACTTTCAGGATCATTTTTGCAAATTTTGACAAGGAATTTATTCTCTACTTTCCCCCATAATAGCGCATTTATGCACTGTTGTTGAATCATGACCAAAATAAGCAGGTTCCTTCCACTAATGATGTAGATGAAATGCTTAGGAAGTCTGACAGTCTAAAATTTGTTTGGTCCTTAGTCTCTGCATTGTTTACCTCTTCCTGCTTTCTTCTAGCACTGCAAGCACGCAGTGGTCCATTTTTACTCTACATTTTATCTTTTTTTATCTCTTTTCACATCTTTAGCTTGCTGACCTGATGGATTTTAACCCACAGACTTGCTTATTATAAACGTCTTCAGGGGAGCTATCATGAAGACACTGTTATGAGAACATTAAAACATATATAGCCCTAAATTTGTTGATTATGCACCAGCGTAAGCTTATGTTCTTTCAATATGAGGTTCCAAACCGATAGAATGGAAGCATTTTTCGACACTTATCTGAGCAGTTCCTCTAATGAGAAATGCATATTCTGCTACCTCTTTCTAGAGTTTCAATCATGAAACTGCATCCAAATGCTCAAAGTAGTAACATAGTCTACTAAGTGATGTAAGGGGAGACCGAAATTGGGTATATAATGTAGTTTCTCCTCGAGTTTATGTCCGCAATAACTGGAGCTTATTGGGCTTGCCGCTTCCATTCACTTTTATCTGTCGTCTACATGTAGACGGGACGTAAATTTTTTTACAATCAGTTTCCTTTCCATTCTAGGCCCTGATGAAAACCAAATGCCTTACTCGACTATGGGATAAAGAGCGAATCGAATTCCAGGTTAATGCTGAATGTAACCAATTAGCTGATATCTGGAAGACTGTGGAGTTCCGTGTTGCAGCTGCAAACTACGTCAACCACCGCATGGATCTTTTTATTTGACCTGAGATATTGTATATATTCGAGTTTAACCTCTCCGCATTCCTAGTTATGTATTCGTTATTCGCCGCCATATTCACGCTTTTGTATCTTCCACAACTGTGAACACCTTTAACTACCTCGAGATAGGGAATCCCCCTTCCACTCCTTTCTTCTATACTTGCATTTATTGCGATTGCAATTCACTCCTGCGGTGAATCTACTCATTGGTTGAAGGTTTTGCTTATTCTTTCTTTTCCTTCGTAATTTGTTAAATCGAATTTTACCTTAAACGAAGATAAGAATAAGGACCTTAATATAACGATAAGTGGCTATTGGTACAATCGAGACTGCTTATTCCATGGTGCTATTCGTTCATCTGGGGGGAGGGTGGTGGTAAAATTTGACTGTCATTTGCTTCGCAACTCAATGTTTTTTCGTTTATTGTCAGCTAGTAATAGCAACAGTAGCAAGAATCCATGAGCATAGAAGTCCAATTTTCAACAATCCGGTCCACGCGAACTTTTTTTATCGAAAAAAAGTGCTGTTCGAGGAAGAGTGGCGAAAAGCCTGATTGGATACAACTATCAGCAAAATCCAGAAGAATTCAGTTGGATAAACTAGGAGAACCTGTTATAACCCAATTAGCTTCCATAGACGTTTCAAACTGAATGGTACACACGGGATTAGACAAAACTTCTCTCCACAATGTTAATCAGCGATCCATGATTTTAGTACCTTTTTACAAATGTGCAAAGTTGGAGATAATTGTAAATAACAAGTGGATGTTGCCCATCATGGTTACAACTTCCCAAATTTTAGTGACGATTTAAATTATTATGACATCGCGGCCACTTTTATCTATAGATTCCTATTCTCTATGTGCTCATTATTTTGCCATCAATTTGGGCTCATTAATTGATCAGAATTAGACAGGCAAACATACGTCATATGACATATTCAGCTATGCTCCTATCTTCTGATCTTGGGCAAATTTAGGATATCAATTTAGCCGCCCCAGTAATAAGACGAATATCCTAGGAAAGCCCTTCCACACGCCGCGGAAATTTTATTAGGAATTAAAAGCGACCAGCGGGAGGCTTGGTTATGCAAGACTTCCATTATCCATAATTCGAGCACGAGAAGTAGCTAACCAGAAGAAACAACTCGTTGTTTATAAGAAGTAGAGTGCGATGAGACAGATTGACAAGGCTCACGAAGTCAATTGGTGAAAAATCTGAAGTCCAGAAGACGCTTAGAATAAATTATTGTCAACTGAGTATTTTTTCGTAAGATGATAGCTTTTATCATATGATTTCAGCCTGTACTATGGTGAAATATGCTTAATGATATCTCAACATTCTCGTTCTATAGAAGACATCGTTAAAACGCGTTTTTACTAACAAGGGCTCTGAGATTGCACGAAGAGCGCTGATTGTACGCGTTTAAAATGCTACTGAAATAAAAATTCCCACGATTTAGAAGATATGAAGGTAAATGGAAATTTCAGTTTTAGTGGTCAACGGTATGTGGGCAACAGGAATACGATTTCATTATATCTTGTGTGGAAGTCAGTTGGTGAATAGGGATAGAGTATTGCTGATTAATCCTATTACCTAAGATCAATTCACCACGAGTGATCTCTGTTATTTTTTATTCATGTTAGATCCCACCGTCCTGATGACTTCTTTGTTGTTATTAAGAATAAATGTCCTTAGAGCAAAGTGCACATACATTCACTTAAAGAAAGAGGGGGTAAAACTTGAAATTCGGATATTAGGCGACGTACTATCTACTAGATGTGCGCAATTTGAACCCAAAATAAGACTCCCATTCTTACTATTTCAACAGCAACCAATCAACAGTTTAGGGTGGAAACATGAGAATAGGGAGCTACGCAGCATTAACGCAAGTACATACTGCCTCAGGAGGGATAACCGACAATCTGGCAATCAAATATTTCAAGAACAAGAGTCCAATGAAAGCTACATTTTTGATGACTTTTGGTACCCTCTCTTCATTTTTGGCCTCTCCTCGAATTCCCTGTCTTGACCCCATAATGGATTTCCCAATTCTTTCTGGTGTTCAGGCGCTTTTCAAGATAGAATGAACACGATTTTAGTTTTAAAGAAGTAGTATTCAACGCGATATGAGTTTAAACTTCTTCAAATAACTGGAACGGCATTAAATTTGGATTTTCAAAGCACCAGCTTATTAATACCGAACACTTTTTTCACTAAGGTGTTGTCTATAAATAGTTGTGGTTACTTTTACATGCCGAGAGAACTCTAAATAGTTATCTTGGAAATGAGTGTAAAGTAAAGTAAAGAGAAAAGACAAGGCTAAAATAAATTAACATTACCCACGACCACGTATACCAAAAAACCTTTATTTTAATGGAAGGTAGCGCATTAATAGGATAGGCAAAAATATATCATCATCAAAGATATAGCTACAGAAGAAAGACTAGATTCTGAGGAAGGAAACAGGAAAATTGTCGCGAAGGAATTTACATATGTTGGGAAAATGCTTCAACTCGGTGCTTACTCATAGGTATCGCTAGTCCTCTATTCTCTTCAGTGCAAACTTCATGTGGAAGTCCGTTGAATGTATAGGCGACAAAGAGTTGCCTTAGTGGTCTACCTTTGGCAAAAGCTGCCCTTCCCAGTCCAGCACATGGATCATAGAAGCCTTGTAAATCTGCCCAACGACCTGGAGGTAATCGGATGGCGTGGTTCTCAACCATAACTTGAAGAGCAACAGAAACATCCAAAGAAAGAGATCCACCAGCATCGTCTTCCAAAGGAATACCGGGAGTTGTGGGAGATAGTTGTCCATAGAGGGCACGGATAATTACAAGACCTCTATTCTCTCTTTCACTTTCAACGATACGAGAAGCCGTATGTTCCATAAGAGCTTGTGTAGCAAGAGCCTCACTTCTCAACTGTCTCAGCTCATTCCTCAAACGCTTTCTACGAATATCTTGAGCCTTTTTGAGCTGAGAGAGTACCCAAGGTTCGTAGACAAGACTTCGAAGAAGGACATAGGAGAGGTTTGGTACTAAAATTCCATAACAGAGAGCTGCTGGATCCCAAACCTCCGAGAGTTTAATGGGGAATACATAGGACTGATTTCCCCTACGTAGACTAAGTTTTAAGCTTAGACCCCGCATCCAACTAACTGCAATTTCGCTGGATAAACGCGTAAGCTCTGAGAGAGCACAGTTGGTTCCAACTCGTACTTCAAGAAGGTCATAGGAATTACATGAGATGTTGGCAGAAATGCGACCCTTTGAAGGAATAGATTCTAGGAGCAAATCGTCTTCTTCATCAAGATTCGTTTCCCAGTCAGCACACCTCTTCGAAGCTGATGGACGAGAAGAGACTTTGAGGAGTGGATTTAGGAAAGGCCAGCTTACAGTAGATTCAAGATGAGTATTGAAAACAGTGTTTCCATTAGCTAGGATATTCATCTGAATGCGGCAGGAACGCTTGCCCTGTTCTGCGAACATAAATAACTCCGTGAAGAGACCTGCATTCATGTTGAATTTGTAGGACAGTCGAGTGATTATGTTAGAGGTGAGTTGGATACCGGTGCCTATAGAAGCGCCCGGAATTAGGGCGAATCCTGAACCGGAATGAGGGGCTGATGCCAATTGTAGACCCGCGAAACCACTAACTCGGTCAAAAAGCTCTTTGCTCAGTTTAAAACCGAGCCCCAGTCCATATTTGCCTCGGCCGTAGGAGATCTATAATACACCAAAGATTATTAACAAACCATAAATATAAAAGTACATTTTTTAAATATTTTACCAGACACAATGAGTGATTTCATAACCCCCTTCTAATTACTACTGAAAAAAGGTTGGCTTGCCGCTTAAACAAACTGCAGACAGTTCGAGTTGAACTGTAAGAAGTTAACACAATATCAATGATAACTTGTATTCTCATACTTTTCAGTAGATAACGGTTTGTAGATATAGAATTAATATCAAACATAGAGCTCTCTTGAAAGATGCCCATAATTGGATTTTCGCAATACTCATAACCTAAATGTGAGCAACTATATTTTATTAATAGTGCAGACTTCCATCTAACTACCGGGTGCAAACAATACCCATATCCCAATAAGTCGTTTTATGGGCTTTAAACAACCAAAAACAAAAAGCGACGACACAGCACAGTAAGGCAAGCAAGGTTAAAGGAAAGTTAAGACGATTTAATGAGAAGGACCAGCAAATACAGACTGATATTTAATATGGATTGCTGAAAACCACAGATCTTAGAGATACGAGCAGGAAATTAGACAAACAACAGAAATTAGAAGGGCAATAAGATGTTTGTACATAACAAAAAAGAAGCGAATTGCCAAAAGCGATCGGCCATTTTTCCAGTGGTTCGAATTCATTACAATCTTTACAACAAAGGCTGAAGTAATTCGGGCACAGTTAGCAAAACTTTGCTCGAGCAAAATTATCAACTAGACTGATTAAGTCTGCAAGGGCTGACAGAATTCGAGTCTCCCATCGGTGAGGTTCAGTGATTTCAACTTATAAGCCACTATGAGCGTTGGAAGCGCTGGGTAAACTAGGACTGGGAACTATTATAACTGCAATATTACGCATTTGCAATAAGAAGAAGCTGTGCAACAAAAATGCCAACGATGAGATTGTTTCAAATTTTGTACTTAAAAATAGCATATTAACTGACCACACGGTAAAAAGTAAAAGTTGGGTACATCGACGATACGAGGAATATCATCAACCTTAGCCAATATAAAAGTTTGGGAGACTTACCTTGACAGTGCTACATGAACGTAAAGTGAATATTCACTGAGAATTATTTCCCCGGACATCAGTTTTCTTAAATAAATATGCATGTGAACATGACTTTAACAACGAAACAAACCCCAAATAGGGCATTCTTCAGATCCATAATAAAAAAAACAATAGTCCCAGTTTCTCATATACCAATACAAAGGTCCTAATGTGCAACTTCTGTTAATAGTTGCTTAACAAACAAGCTTACTTAAAAGTTGGGAACTTCTTTGCAATCAATTGTGATTTTAATAGAAACTTATGTAAAGATTCTTCACAACCATTATACCTACAAGATAGTCAAACTCACAGTAGTTTCTGTAGAGCTCGCTCCAATAATCGGCGTTTTCGGTGAGAGTCGATGAGTCCAAATTGACAGCAAAGTGCCAATACCAACCCCATTAAAAGCTGTGACATGACCAGCTAGATTAACTGTATTGTTTGGTGTTCGGAGAGCCGTAATTGATTGAGACATGGAGACATCGTGGACTGATATGGATGGTGAAAATATCCGCTCTTCTGGTGATTCCTAGGGCAAAAAGACGAAATAAAATCCAACAACGAAAGCTCAACATTAGAACTAGGAATTAGGATAAACTTTGAGATAGCGATCGAAGAAGTCGGTCATGTCAATACCACAGGTGAGTTCGGTGCTAGGTTGGAGCAAGTGTTCCCTCTCAGATTCTTTAGCTTTTTGTTTTAGGAGAATGTATTCCAGACGCAGTTCAGCTGCAGATTTATCCCTCACTGCCAGCTCCCAACCCTGAGTACGAAGACCTATATTTAAATTAAATTAACAAATTTTAATGGAAATTCATAAGATATTTAATACTAAGTGGCTAGATATCCATGATCCCCTCCCCCTCTCGACAACAAGGATTTTAACCGCGAACCTAGATCAGGGAGTAGTACTTAGTAGATGATCGTACTAGCTAAAATATCGGACATTTCAGGCTTATTTTTTTCACAGCCACCTAAATTCCGTAGGAAAACGTTGAAGTATCAAATAAGGCACTAAGAAATAAACAAACATCTTTTGGACATAAACTTCAAAAGAGGTAATTGGTAACAAAATTCGAAGTGCAAACTTATATTGGAGAGAGTAATTTGGTGTGTGGCAAGCCGAGTGATGTCTTTATCGAAGATAAATTAGATGACAGCGACGATGGGATCCTTCAGTATTATGAGGAAGGTAGTTAGAAAGACAATAAAGTCATCGAATTTGCTGGATTAAAAGTAACCAAGAGGGTAATATATGCATTTTTCAATACTACACGGCGATCTTCCAATTCAGGAAATACGCTTCTAGCTCACTGTGTTTGAACTACTGAAGAATGAATTTAAGAACTGTAAAATACGAACAACTTCATTTTTTAAACCGAAACTAGGGAAACTTTTAATTTCACGATTTGATAGCATCTCCACATTCTGGAGATTCATTAAATAATTAACTTAAGATGTCTAGACATTATCAAGAAAGACCGAGGAAAATTAAAATGACAGAAATGAGGATATAAAGCATGGAAATGCAATAATAAAGATATAAACCCAAAATATTTTAATAAACCGATACTAAGACAAAGTACAACAAACGCGGCAAACAATGATGTGACGTATTAGCAGATACTTAGACCTATTTCCTAATCCGAAAGATTACTCAACGGAACGCAACTGCGATTTACACAAGATGCACCAAAAGAAAAGAAACAAATGAGAACACAGTGACTCGAAGAATTCGAAGAGTTTAAAAATATTCAAATCGGCTAATCTTCATCGTTTGAAAGCTACAAATAAAGACGTTGAGGTGTACTTCTATGAAATCAATTTAATAGGTCATTATGATTTTAACTAATTGAAAACAGAATAGATTAGGAATGAATGCCTACCTCTAAATCCGTATTGATCATAGATAGCTCTTTGACTCGGATCCGAGAGAATGTTATAGGCATTCGTGAGACGCCTAAACGCTGCCTCAGCCGCATCTGAGGCAACAGAATGTTTATCCGGATGCAGTAATCGAGAAAATCGCCTATAAGCCGCCTTTATATCCGCATCACTTGCGTCTCGTGAGACACCCAGCACCCCATACAAGTCAGGCGTTGGGTCCTCTTCGTATTCCAGCAAGTAGAAGCTCTCCTCAGCCGCCTGATCGTCCACGAAGGAGAGAAAGGAAGGATCGACTATATCTTCTTCGCCATCCTCATCAGGATCCACCGATGCGTTGTTGATAGCGCCAGAGGCTGTACGGGCATTTGAATTATCTGCGTACATACTCCTAACAAAAAATATATCATGCTAATCACGATTTCTACTAGTTTTAACCAGAGGAGAGCATTTTGAAGTACTGTATATAGAAAGCATAAGTCCCTTTTCAATTAGAATTGACTAGTAAGAATGATCATCCTAATCAAGCATTCTAGGTATTTAGACATCAGTTAAACGAGGCTCATACAAACTCGGATTAAAGTTAAAAAGTCATACAACTGGAAGTGTTTATTATGGCCTTTATTAAGAACCTCGAAAGGGTTAAACATTATGAAATAGTAAGGAAGGGTTCAAATGCGAACACAGTTTAGAATATTTTCAATTAGTCTTCATCAGGGGCTCGTGGATCCCGCGGTTTAGGCCCGCCTGCTGGTCTAGACATAATAATTTGATCAACGCGAAGAACAACGCAAGCGGCGTTCGTAGCAAAGCGGATGGCCCAATGTTTGGCAGCATGCAAATCAAGGATGTTAGCTTCCTTGGCATCACGAATATCAGCATCGAGCTTTTCAGTGGTGACAAATCCCGAATAGATCTGACCAGCCTGATGGTTAGCATAGAGCTGAGCGATCACTTCAGTCGATTTCTCGCCAGCATTTTCGGCAAGAGCTTTGGGAATCACCTCAAAGGCATGAGCAAATTCACGAACGGCGTACTGTTCGAGTCCAGGAATTGTGTCCGCAAATGAAAGTAAGTTGCGAGCAATCTCAACTTCACATGCACCAGCTCCTGCAACAACCTTTTTGCAGCGAGTAAGAGCCTTGTAAGTATTTACGCCATCATCAATAGCTCGTTCAATATCATCCATAATGCTATCGGTACTACCACGAACAACCAGAGTAACCATGGGCTTCTTGCTTGCAGCTGAGAATGAGCAAGAGACAATGAATATAAATGAATTTTAGATCTAATGAAATATAGAAGAGTAATTACCTTGTTCAAAAATTACAACGCTAGTATCAGCAATTTCGTCAGTTCGAGCTCGTTCAATATATCCCAATTCTTCGGTAGAGGGAATACTTAGCGTTGGAAGAACAGTGGCACCAGTAACTTGGCACAGACGTCTTACATCAAATTTACTGTTAAGGCGCACTAACATAATACCACGTTGGTTGGCGTAGTGTTGAGCCAGTTCACTAACTTTGCCACCACAGACGACAATCTTAACACCAAGATCAGCGATACTGCTTATAATCTAAGGTCGTAAATAAAAAAGTTATTGCAAGCAGTCTTCAAATTATAAAAAAAACATATTGATGCCTACCTTCTCCATTTGGCTTTCTTCACCTTTGGAAAACTCCATCAGTTCTTCGGCAGTATGTAACAAAACAGTACCCTTCGTTTCAGTTTGCAAAGCTTCAAGAGGACAAGAGTAAACGACAATTTTTGATTGAGAAACCTCTTTGACATCGCCTTCTACGTCCCGAGGGAAAACCATTCCGTGCACAAGAGTGGAACTTGTCACACCAGAGCCTAAGACTTTCAGAACTCTGATGTTGTCGACATTAAAATGGCCAGTTTCAGGCATGGCGGAAACTATTTAGAGGTAAGGTTATAAAGTGGAAACATACTGCATGCGTTTGAGATAAGTTCTGAAAGAAACTCGCTGATATCAAGTTGCTTGCTCATTAACGAGGTCTTGATAACAGGGACAACATCATTGATGTTTTTAAGGTCACTAACTTCCTTAACGACAATATCTAACAGAAATAAAGAGGCAAGAGTTTCTTACCGTCTAGGAAATTAAGAGCCTTCTTGCTGGCCATTTCATAACCCTCAACAATTTGAGAAACTGACAAACCCATTCTTAAGAGATCACGTGCATTATCCAGAAGAGCACCAGCTAGCTGGAAAACAAGATTAGTTCCATCACCGGCTTCCTGTTCCTGCTGTTGTGTGGCGAGAATCAACATTTTTGCGGCTGGATGTTGAACTTCGAGTTCGCGGAGAATCGTAGCGGCATCATTTGTTACAAATTGTTTACCGATGTGGTTAATTACGATTTTATTCTGCCCACTCGGACCATAGGTAGAGCGGGTTGTTTTTGCTATAGCAACGCATGCTTCAATGTTACGAGAAACGGCTTCTTCTAGACCTTCGTAATGCTACATGAACAATAAACAGAAGAATAAATAATACATACTCTAGTTCCATCTTTCAACATGGATACATAATTCTGAACCCTGGGAACGTGGAGAGCCATATCAAACTATTCAATAAACACGCTTAATCAACAAATACGAGCTGGTTATGTAGGCTGTTTGAAATTAGCACATTAAACAAATCAGAAATTCTCATACACTACTTCCCAAAGCAATAAAGATTTAGCTAGGAAAAATCTAAAATAACATTTTTATTAATATGGGACTGTGTTAATGTTTTAAAGTTGGCAATAGAAATAAACGCATGCAAGACTATATGAATATAAACCGTAATATAGAAAATAATACTTGCTCAAAGGTTATTTTATGCTACGGTTGTTTTTTTGAAGTATCAGCTTGAAGTGATGGTACCTTGTATACCCTAACTTAGAGCGATAACCTAAATATCGTCATTTATGGGAATGACTCAATTTTGAGGTTATCTAACGAAAATGACACTTATAACAGCTCCTTTCCTCAGAATAATTGATAAATACTTGCGTTTATCATAAGTTAATTATTAAAGACCGAATTTCAAATTTAAGTTGGACAACCATTTTGAGACATTAGTATTTTATTACAATAACAGAATCGTTTTATGGATCCTGACCTATATTAAATAATTTATGGCACTCTTATTGCTTGATTATTAAATTATATTTATCCGGTTAATCATTCGAAACACTATGATTGAAAATGCCCCATATTTACCTACAACTTTTAATTTATATGAAATGAATTAGCAACGCTCGCCTTCGCGTAAACTCTCATTCAGTATCAAGACTGATGGATTCTCATCCTTAATCTTTTCAGGTCTATGGAGTTAACTTTCCACTAAGTGTGATGGCATCTAGCAAAGTTCAAGTGAAATATTTTAGTGGAGATACCCAAGGCGATCATATCAAGCTTTTTAAATTGTTTATCTAACTTCCATTCTTCTTTCTAATTGCAAGCATTTATAGTATTCTGCATTAAAATATTTCTCTATAATTAATGTAAGCGAAATTTTTATCATTAAGTTGTTTCTTGAAGTAATCGAAATATGTATTATAATGGCTTTTATTTGTAAAATTAGATAAAGGTCATTATATGTAAAAACTAGCCCAGTTTTGTTAACACACGGGATTTTCAGTTTAGCCAAACAGGAGTCGTGTTTTCGTGTTAAGTCGCGGATGTATTCATGTATCGGGTCTGAGTACAAAAAGAGATTTTGGTGCCCCGTAAGTTTTTTTGCCGTTTGATTAGCTGCCGAAATTGATTTATAAGTTTTTCTTTTGGGATAATTCAGCTTAATCTATCTGAAATAATTTTATTTTCAGGTATCAAGCGATTTCTTAAATTCCAAAACGTCTGCCAATAAATCAAGTCAGAATAAAGAGGAAATAGGAATCATTGATGAACGATGTAGATTTCCATATAACGAACTCCTTGTCGGATGTTTCCTTCTCCTAGTTCTTTTTATCAAAGAAGTACCATCCGCAATTATCACGTTCCTCGGAGGGGCTTTGATATTAGAGTTCCTATTAGTCCTCTCTGGGCAAAAAAAATTCACTTCTCGAAATTCTGACTTTCCAACTGGAGCTTGGTTGCTTATTCCCCTGCCTACAATTTTGATTTCCTATGATTTTGACGCAGCTCTCAATCTAGTCAGTACATCATTTCTTGCCTTTATTTTTCACCTCTATCTACAAAATCCAACTAAAATCTGCTTCGCATCTGTTCCGATATGGATTATATGTATATATTTTACACATCAATCGCTGTCGATTGGTTTTATCTTGTTGCTTATTTTCATGACTTTTCTGCTCGGTGAACTCTTGTTGCATTTTCCATCATCAATTACAATCTGGGAGGCTAATATAATTGCTCAAATTTGTTTTCTCTTCAATGCAAACACCAGTCTCTTTATTATACCCCTACTCTGTGTTTACACAATAATCCGCTTTAGGATGTCGCCAAATTTTGAGACAATTACAACACTATCTGTTATCTCAGGATGGTTAATAACTCTGGCAGACGATTTTGCCGATCAGTTAATGTTCTTTCAGGGGGAATTTCTGGATCAAACTCTTTTTATTAACACCAATCCAATCAAATATGTTCGTGATTTAATCGCTCCTGTAAATATTATACTTGTCACGACCCTCTGGTTTCCACTTTCTATCCTTGCAATTCTTGTCGTGGTTTTCTTCAATGCGGGAGAGAATCCTCGGACTAGGTCTACCTTCGCTCTGAGAAAAATGTTTCACTTTCTAGCTGGGGTTGTCTTTGCTACAGGTTTGCTTGTGTCGCCACACTTCCTTTCCTTCGCTGCCGCTTGTGTTCTTTTGGCATTTCTTGCTGTCGAATGGAATCGGAAACAAGGGGTAAACCTCTTTTGTTAAATTGATAATTCTTTCTATCTCTAATTGGCTTTAGTGATCTAAGTCTTTTCTATAGATCAACTTATGTTAGTAATTTCACGTTTAGAATTTTCTACCGTTAATTTTGATGTCGGCAGGATTAAGCTACTACGACGTTTAATCTAATTTATACATACGTTCACACTATTTCATTTCATATTAGCTCAAGGTTTGGCAAAATGATTAATTCTAGAAACAGAATCGGATACTTTATTAGGTTTGAGCTTTTACGGTTACTGTTAATTTATTGTTGTATATTAAAATTAAGTCTTAATTCTATATTACCAGTTAGGCAGATTGCCGGCCAATCTTTTGTATCAAATCGGTGCCTGCGCTTCTAAAGTAATAGTATACCTAAGTGGGCATATCGGAATGTAGTTTTATTAATTATGAGGCTATATTTTGTGGGTTTAAGGTTAGGCAATACGAATGAGTTTGGCTGTAAAACTGGAAGGGTAATAAGGATATCTTTTTCCTATAAACTATTGGGATCGCCTGTAAAAGAGAAAAAGACTTCAGAAAGAACACTTTATCTAGTTCGCATTGTGTTCGCTTTGTAAACGTTTCAACTACGAGAAAACAAATACAATCCTAAATAAAGAGATTTGGCGTGAGCAAGAGTTTACTGTCTAGAATCATATTATTCGAATGCTATTATTATTGTTCAATATTTATCAACCAAAAGTTCAAATACTATCCGTTTAACGAGAAGGCTTTTTGCTTTTAAAGTCAGATTATAAGAAATTCAGAAATAAACTCTGCTTTTATAACAATTTAAATTAAAAAAGATAAGTCTTAATTCTCCTTGACTTAGTTGACTAAATACTAAACCGATTTTTCTTCGACTATATTATTAGCCTTCCCATATCTCCAAAATCCTGAATGACTTCCTGAAACCCTTTCGAGATTCTCGGGATTCGGGTGAGCTTATCTTCACTCCAATTGCTCTTCTACTTGGCTTGAGTTTGCCCATTTGGAATTTCGGATTCGAAAGTCATGGTAGGTATATGTATAAGATCATCCATTTATGTTCTTGATCTTCAAGTCACTCAATGTACGTTGCATTTACCTTTTTTGATTAGTGTCTCCTCGGGCTTGGATTGGCGTCATAACTATTGCCCTCGGTGATAGTGTTGCTGCTCTGGTCGGCCGAAAATGGGGTCATTATTTTTACCGCTGGCCAGGAACTCATCGAACTATCATTGGCTCAATGGCTTCATTCATTTCTCAGGTAAGTGGTGCCAAGTAAATTGCCTGCTGCCTTAATTACTGATTATGTTTTTTTCTCACCATAACTATATTCTCATAAAAATAATTTAAAGAGTTAATTTTGGCTGGCTTGAAGACATTCACACGTTATTAACTACTGGGCTTCAAATGCGCTACATTATCAGCTGTGCATCCGCTGCACCACGTAACAGCCACAGCTACATTGCGTTCTTAGAGCCATCGATTAGAAGGACTGACGGTTAAGTAAACCCTGTTTAAGGCTATTTGGTTTTTAATTATACCGTAGTTAACATTTTACATAAAGGGTCTCACTAGGGGTTGGAAAGTAGCTGGTAATCTATAAATTTAAGCAATTTCAGCAGACAAGAAAAGTACATTACTCAAAATAACCATCATTAGCGTCTGTTAGAGCTTCGATCCGGCTCGGAATCTGCAAAAAATGGTTTCTATTCTTTCTACTGGAATAGCTTTAAAACTGATTTCACTGTGTCCATTAACTGGTTGACTTTTGTATCCATCAAATAAATTTATGTGATGAAGAGGAGTTCGGAGGCTAAACTTCTGAACCGGTGTAGCGGAGACCGTCAAATCCTGTTGCCAAGCATTCCTATAACCTATTATCCACAGCCTTTAATTGTTGTCCAGGGCTTGATTACTACTGAGGTTAGCAATTCCACCATTCGAAAATTGACAGTTTGGGTAAATTTAATCTACATGACTGGAGGGGTTTTCTTTGGGCTGTATGCAGGCCAAGCCAGCTGTTATGTTGCTTAATGTGCTTTTGTTCTTGGGGAAGGTTTTTCTCATTGGAAAGAATTCAATTGTTTGTTCTCCAACATGATATTTCATTTTGTTCAGGAGTTCCTTCCCCCTTGTCAGACGATTTTCGAGGTCATTTGTGTGAGAAGTTGACCTCTTCGATGTGTGAATAAGTTTGCAGTAGTGAGTTCTTAATTGAAAGCAAGTTTTGGGGTAGGGGCTGAAACATTCAATCAATTGTGGCTACAATGCCCGAATTGCGATGCCGACACACTTCTGCACAAATTCTGAGAAAATCGCAAAGCACAATTAGATAATCTGCTAAGTTGTTATCTTCTAGCTATAGCTTTACAATTCTCCAGTTAATGTCACTTTCTTTTCAGGTTCAATGAGCATTTGAGCAACAACAATAGGCAACTTATTTCGTTGACTATCGTGAATCATTATGGTTTGAGATATTCTCTTCTCTGATTTAGGTAGGTTTCAGTCACTCCTCATCATTGTCATCGCATATACGAAGAAGACTTTAGGCTTACTAGGGAAGCTTAGTGTGCGCAAACACTTTTAGCTCATCTGAATAAGCAACTAAATACTCTGGACAACCTGGGTGCCTTTGTATGCGAATCCTGAACACGTCGAGTAAATAGTATTCGGGTTATTGGCATGCTTGTGAAGACATTTTGTCAAGGCAACCATGTTGTTTATGAACCCTCCACTTTTTTTACCGTGTGGCATGTAATTGCGCACCATTCTATCAGTTTTATTCGGTTACATAACCAGTAATCGGTTTATTTTCCGTCAAGTGACAAAGTTTAACGAATGAATGAATGGATCTCTATTTCTGTTGGAATTGACAAATTACAGTTGACTTTTCCTAACTGCGCTTCTTTGATCATCGACAACACCACGCTAAGTATTCGATAGTTGTCTATGTAGAATACAAATCTAGTTTCTAGTACTTCAGTATCTGCCTACTTGGTCAATTCCTTTTGTCTTGAATATGACTGATTTTTTCCCTGCCGTAAAGCTGATTGCATTCTATACAGCATATTAATATCTGATTCTAGTTTCTTTGATCTTTGACCACTAGATGTCGCTAGGCCGCAGTTATCTCCGATAAGATAGTAGCACAATTAATCTTAGGAACATTGTTAAAGATTGTAACAAAAAATGATTTCAAATTGTCTTCGATTGATTGATATTCAAAGGTAAAACCACTGCTGGATTAATGGCTGTTCCTGCCTCGAGGTGTTGGGACCGGCTTGCGTCAGCATATTAAGGCCAACGGATTTTTTACTAAACAGACTGCTTCTTGAATGCTATTCTTCGGCTTCCAGTCAATTCATGCCCTATTTTCATTTTTACTGATTTTAGATGCTTCTGTGGGCTCTCTTGGCTGAGTTCTACGGTTGGTCCTGGCAAGTGGGAATCCTTCCTCTGGGAATGGGCGTTCTTGCTGAAGCATACACCGAGCAGATCGATAATCTTGCCATTCCTCTTCTTGTGATGTCCCTCATTCCCTCTACGCTGTAATGCATACTCTCACACGTTCCTGAACGATTGTTTATAACTAATCGTATTGACTTTTATATTTTTTCTTCACAAGATATTTTATTTTCAAAATGATATTTTTTGATCAACAGTTCTGCAAAGGCTTGGACGTTATTAGAGTTCACTTGTAATGCTTTGAATATTTTTGAGTTTAGCGAATAGGTGGTATTTACTGCCTTAGAACTGTTAAAACGTTAAGAATGTCCGAACTGAATGTTCACACACACGGCACATTATTTGTCAAGACCGGATATGGGGAGAAGTGAGGGGTGCATGGGAATAGGATCGTTGAATCGGCACATCGGCCGTCTGAGTCAATGAGAAAATAAGCATGCAAGGGAGAATGATTTACGATCAAAAATGCCCATCGGGCGTGACAGAACTGAAAAGAGTTGGATTGGGTCTGAATGGTATTAGGTGACGTGAGGCGAAAAATATGAGGAAACAGAATTCCTGCAGTACTTGTCATGGGGGATTAATTGACCTGCTTAGTAAGAGTGGGAAGATTTTGTGAATATAAATTCCTTGTGCAATGTTATAAACACCAATAAATATCACGCTGCCTTTTAGATATTTTCAAGAGGCAAACTGAAGCGTTTAAACTCTGTTGGTTAAATCTGATTGGAAAAGCAAATTTGACATAGTTGAAGGAAGGGTGAGATTAAGCTTACTCAAGTTGACTCGTCGTAAAGGTAGTCTTTCAGTTGGTAAAACAATAATGGCCTGGATGCCAGACTAGTAATGGGGCTCGTGTGTACAAACTGAATTCAAAGCCAATTACTTTAAAAAATTGACATTATTTTCACCAATTTATCAATTACACCTCTTTAATCCATTGTAGGAATTTTGTTTAACGAGTTCAGACGCTTTCCCATGATGTAAACAGATCTGTGTTTGGCCGTCCGTTTAAGATAATTTCTAGGGAATTGTCTGCGGCCTATTGGTGATTCATGATAAAGTATGCTATAAACACTAAAGTGGTAAATACCCTCCAGTCTGAACCCCAATGCGAACTTGTGCAATCGCCGTATTAGTTCGTTGTTAGTTGAAAAAAATGATATGGTATCAAATGTTACCTCTATTTTTCGACCCTTTCAGTGAAAGAAGGTATCTTAACAGAAATCAGTTGCTAATTGCAAAAGCCAACAAATATTATCGAAAAGTAAAAATTCAACAAAGCGAGAGGGTAGAAAGCTACCAGGAAAAAAATTGCAAAGATTTTGTTGAGAGGAACTTTTCTCTTGAAGGTAATGGAGTCGAAGCCACTTCCCGTACTTTCCTAGGCATGACACCGGTTTATGATCCAACGAACTTTCATGCCAAAATTTTAACGGGAATTCCCACAGTGTCAGTTTCATTAAATAATTGTAAAAAATCATATGACCAGCCAAATAGATTTTATGGTTAGTTTCGAATTATTGATTTAATCTTATTTAGGCAAATTTCTAAATACGCATTGTAAAAGGATTGAAATGCAAAATTTTACTCAAAATGAAAGTGCAGACATTTTAATTTATTGAAATTAGAAATTTGAACATTTTCGGATTAATTAAGAACAATTTTAAATCAAGGAGCATATTTGTCAATAATGGGCAAATAAATAAGAGTATTTATCACAAATTAAATAAAAATGTATAAGGAGAAATGTAATATCTTTAAACAGAAGAAAGTTCAAAATTAACTTCAATAGGAAAAATTTGGCGAACAGATTGAAAAATGGCTTGTTAATTAAAAAAATCATAGTTGAGTTTTTCAAAGATTAATACAGGTACATCGAAAGTAATTATTGAAGCATAAATAATGGCCAAAATATGAATAGAGAGCAATATTTAAGTTTAAAAATGAAAAATTAAAACAAGGTAATAGTAAGGGATGGAGTTTGAAGAAAAAATAGCATCTATAATTAAAATCATTTTCCTTCATCGGCTACTCAAAGAAAAGTGAAAATACTTGTGACAATTTCAAAATAATTATATTTGAGTACATATAATAAGCAATATTCATCATCGTTTTATTTAATAATTTGTGAGACACTGGTATTTGTTATATGCTGCATTTTCCATCAAGGCCTTCAGAAGAGGTTCATTTGATAATTTTTATTTCAGTTCGCTGGATATTTTTATCTGATTAACGTATGGAATCAGGTACCACAGAATCGTCTTTAGACTTGGATTTACTGCAGGCGAGTTAATTCTCTTTCCCTTATAAGCGTATATAATTTTCATTTATTTAACTTGTACTTAACAGTTCTCACTGACAAACACTATCTCTTTCCTTCAGAACTATATTCATTTTACACATGTCTAAAATTAAAGCATTTCTTCTTTTTTGACTGTACATAGTGTATTTTAATCTTTTATTTACTTGTTTTGCTTAGTATTGTATTTTTAAGCAGATTATTTTAATGGTATAACTTTGATAAATTCTACCATAATAAATCCGATGATTGCGAATATGATTTTTTTGGTCTAACGTTATTTATGCCTTGAGTTCGACATCCAATTATCTAGTTGATCATAGTAACTAAATTTGCGAACATGCATGCTTGGTTTTCTTATGCCTATAATGTTTGACTACCCATTGTTATCATTTAGCGTAAATATTATATTTTGCTAACTATGTATTAAAGCCATTTACATGTTTATACATTTTCTTTTACTTTAATAATTCATATGCTATCTGTGATTGTAAATCATTTTACAAACTAGCTCGTTTTCACATTCACAAATACAGGGTCACACACTTATATAAAATATTTTACTTGTACACACATTAATGCACAAACCCAATTATCGATCCTCACACTTCCTTGTGTGCACACCCGCACGTAGAATTCCCATATTGTGTGTATGTGTGTATCTATTCCTTTTCACAAATTCGTGCGTGCCTCATGTGGGTGTGCGTGTGTGTGTGCGTGTTGTGTATGTGCGTGTTGTGTGTGTGTGTGTGTGTGTGTGCGTGTGTGTGTGTTTCAGGAACGGACCTTTTGCATGTGTTTCACATCTTTACGCCTACAATCCCTAAATCGTACGTACCACTCAGATGACTCATGGTATTCATGTACGATTAGTATTTTTGTGCCTGGACACCCATTCAATCATGCCAATCATAATTATATCAAAAGTACGAAATTTGAAAAAGAGAGTATTGTTCTCAATTTCCTGGTACGCTAATTCGCTTGTCGCTTTTCTTTCACTTTTGACGCTTTCATCCGAATGTGGAATTTCTTATCTTTCTGAAGGCCATATTTGAATCAGCATATTTATGGATATTCGATTACTTTTAATACGTCTATTTGTATTCCTTCAACTGCCTCATGCTTCCTATTCGTTAAGATTGGTCCGAATTTATGCGATTGTGGGATTTCATCATCCGCTACTCAGTTGTGTGTATGTGTATGTAAAATGAAATTCATATCAGCTATATCCTTGTGTTGTAAGTGTGCTTATGCGTGCATTTACTCTTGCAAGAAAATCATTCACACGGGCACTATACTCGTGTGTGTTTCAAAGGTGGGTTTTGTGTGCATGTGTTCCACATCTTCGCCAGCACACATTTAAATTACTCATGTCATGGTTTTTAGGGCCAGCTAATTCACTCGGGTCACATGAGTTTTTTATATCGTGACAAAAGTTCATTTAACTGCTTTATATTGTGCATTTGCTTTGTATATGTTCATTTTTCAATTGAAAACTTGACTTTCACCCACCTAGCATTATCTGCTGGCAATATCACAAATAAATCCATGGCCCATAATGAAGCCCGTTTTCCCATATTTATCGACAAATTTGACCGTTATATGACCAGTGAAGCTAATTGTTCGAACCGGTAGATTATTTATTTAATATTCGGGTAATTCTGTTTCTTGTCTTGGTTGGCAGCTTCTAAACTTGTTTGCATCTTACTGTTAGCTCAATTTCTCTATTCCATTCTGCTATCTAGCAGTACTTGATAGCCGAAGGTGGAGGACAATTAGAGTCAAAAACAACGTTGATTAATCCTCAATATTTTTAATTTTGAGTGGAAAATTGTGAAATGTTATGTTGTTACTCTGATCTCGATATCATACTTGCACTCAAATCGTTGACTTAGAACTGGCTAGACCCTTTTCCTACTGAGCTGAATTTTCTACTCTATTGTACTTACAGATGTTCTTTTTGCTTGCACTCTTGTAGACTTTTCCAAGGGATTCGCTAGTGTCATTAGTTCATCAGTTGTCTACTGAAATTAAGCAACTGCGTTCCCAAGTAGAAATACTGGAGCGACGAAATGCAATGCTTCAGGATCTACTTCCCGAAATGATTCAGACCACCATTCGTTCAGCTGTAAGTAATCAATATTTTACTAAATGTGCAGTATTTATTTGCTCTTGTTGGTCGAATTGGGTCTAAAGCCAAATCTACCTTGAGTTAAATTTCTTTAAGAATTTTCATTCTCCGATATCTCACCTATGACCACTTTGATCTATAGTCTTTCTCATTGACTTTTCGTCCCAGTACCACTTTTACAAGCCACAGTTACCATTTTGAAATGGCACTAATACTTCGACTTTGTGGTTTGAATAAGGGATGGAAAATTGTCTGCTGGTGACAATAGTCGTCTCAATGACGATCGTACATTTCAAGAGATAGCGCATAAGGCTGATGATCAGTATCTCAGTCCGCGAAGTAGAAAGCCTTTAAACTTCACCTTTCTTACCTACCGCGTTGGATCTGTCTAATCTCCGAATCATAGTTTTCTCTTTTTTATCATGATTCAAATTTTCCCACCATAATGCTTTCCTCTTTCTTTTTAGTTCAACTCACAATTTGAATCGAATATCCTGGACAGCTGTCAAAATAGCGACAAACTCGAGAATGGAAAATCCTCTCTTTGTTCGAATACAATTCCTGCGTCCATTGATATTGGTGGCGGAGGTCCTGTGATTCCGCCAACAATTTTTCCTATGCCCAATAATTTTACCCCTTCATCCGTTCCTTCTTCTTCGTTAACCTTCGAATCTAATGATCTTACGGGGTTGTTAAACTCATTTCTAAGTGAGTTTTAATTGTGCATTATATTTGTACGAAATCTCATAACCATTGAGATGTCATATGAAAATGCAAAGTAGCCAAGTATTCCAGTATGGATGGTCAAAAGGGGTTTATAATGAGGTTAGAATGTCAAGAGTCTTGCTTCATTGTAGGTCTAAAAACATTGATTTGTTTATTTTCTCAATGAAGACGTAATTAACATTAGACTATCCAAATCTTCTAGAGCTCAATTTTCGATATTTGTTGCCTGGGTTACTGAGCGAGTTCATGTCTGTGATATTCAGAAATTATTGGCCTTGCTCTGTCATTCCCTCTTTATTTATATTGAATCTATTATAGTTACTTATTCTTTAATTAGTATTGTGCTTATAACCTACCCTATTTATTATTTTTAACTCACCTCAGGTAAATCTCTCAATACCGATTCCTCAAATTTGCCTAGTCTTCCTCCCCTGACACCTCCAAGGCCTTTGAAAGATGAGGAAAACAAGAGCGGTTTTGACGACGATGGGAGTGGAGAAGGAGATGAGGCTTCATCCTCTTTCCTTCTCCCCTTGGTGCCGTCGCCACCACGCTCCACCGGAACTCGGTCCGAAGTTAGCTCCCTCCTTTCTAGCGAGGTGATGGCTCAGATTGAAGATCAAATTATGTCCCCCTCCTTTATGAACGAACGACGGAAGCAGTACTGGCAGATATACCTCAATTCCAAGGAATGGACTCGGGCAACCTGTGCGCTCATGTCTTGTCTCTTCACTCGAACCCAAATGGCAAATTCCACTGTCTTAGGAAGGTCTTCACAAGTTGGTGGTGGGATTAGAAATCGGCTTCCTTCAGCATTTGTTCATTACATTGTTAGTAAGTTGTGAGATTCATTAATCTTTGTCAATGGTTATTTTGCATCCTTTGGACAGCGCTCAATTTTGACTCCCCCATTTTAACGCGATCGTTGTCATAGTTGGGGCCCTGGTTTTAATTTCCACCACTTCACAATCAGTGAGTGGAATAATCAGCTGCGCTAGTCGAGTCTGGTTAATATAGGTAATGACAGGATTTGAGTTTCTTACCCGAGAGGTTAGATTGGTAGCTTATATCTGATCAATATTTGGTTAGAGAGAAGGCGTCACAAAGAGGGTATTGTGAGGGAAATATGCCAACTGTCACCAGAATTCCTTCCTCCTACATTATTCTGAATGATAGAAGGAAATGGATCTGCAAACCTTTTCACGATTTCTCGAATCACAGCTGTAATTAGCTCAACCAGTCTTAAATTCCAGATCGTTTATTTTTTGTAAAATAAAATGTCACCTTATTTATAGAAATGGTATACTTTGTACTATTAGGGCAAGCGCGTGTGGATAGTTTTAAGGCTACAAATATAGGCCACCGATCTACGAATTTTTGGCTTCACTACTCAGTTTCGACCGACGTTTTTGTTATTAATTTCTATGTTTCCTCAATAATAGATTTCTGTTTGACAGCTTATGTCTTTCAAAGACTTAAAGCTTTCGGAATTTGGGCACTTTAAGGTCTTGTTAGCAGTTTCCCTCGTGAAACAATGATCCAATAGCAGAAAAGCACTTTTTTCCTTTGAGCATTCACGTATAAGTGGGAGTCATATCCTTCACTGTTTTTTTTCGCGAATTTCTTCGAGGAGGGAGTTCGCTTCTAGAGACAAATATTGACACTGATAGTTTCGATCAAACAAATTACTCGGCGTTTTAGCTTCCTTTCTTTGGCAATGACTTCATGGAATTTGTAATTCTAGTTCTCCCTAACATTATTTTGGTCACTTAAGGGCAACTTTATGCCAACCTAACTGAAAAGCTGCCTTTATTGAAGTGCGCCTGTAGCGCTTCCCAGAATAATTTTTCAAACTTCATCCCCTTAGTATTTTCCGTTGTTTAATAAAAGATCTTCTTTGTTATTGGCTACACTTAGTTTTTCAAGGTATTATTTTCATTTCAGCTAAAATCAACCAGCGCTTTGGTGTGAATCCCGTCAAAATTCGTGCTAGAATGGCCCAGAAATGCAAGGATTTGCGTCGTTGAAGGATTGGTTCTCTACAGCGCGGATGTGACACATCCTGGCCTTCCTACACACCTTAATACTTTTTTGCTGCCCTTCCTCATCTTCATTCCTTTTCCTTGACTTTTCGTAATTACATTTGTACACTCCCCCGCTCAACTCCTAAATTTTTTTTCACTATTTATGACGATTTCCAGTTTCGTACGAGGATATTACTTAGTCAGCGGACATGGTCGACCTTCTACAATCCGGCGTCTCCTACAGTGCTATCATTCAGGTTGTGATTTCTTGACTTCAATTTTCATCAAAGATAAATAAGTAGCCTGCGAACACGTGACCCTGTGACTCCTTCCTCGAGGCCTTCTTGTCAAGCGCAGTCCTTCATTTTCCTATACTTCCCTGGCCCTTTTATCTGTATGAAAGTTGTGTAAAATGTACATATCTGTAGCAATGTATTATGGAGTTTTTTTAGGGAATTCATTAAAATTCAATAATTGTTTTAATATTGCTTGTTAATAGTTGAAGCAAAGTTGGTTTCCTCTTAAGGTGCCCTTTTGGTTTTCGCTGATCGCGCTGCGTTGGCAACATTTTCATCCTTAAATGGACTTGGAAATTATTATTTGAAGCCGTAGATAATGTAATTAAATAAGTTATTTCATTCCTTTAAATTCAAAGGTAATAGGTCCAAGTCCTGAATTGCGCATTTCTTGGGCGAATTTCACATCTCGTTGGCAAGACCCTGTGTCTGGGTTAAGCAATAGTACATGTCAGTGAAGTGACCTCACTACCAGATACCAACACGCAATAAGTAAGCATTTCAGCGCTTAGGAACAACTATGTTGAAAGCGACTTTGCGCATTGAAAGCAAGCTAATTTCAATGCCACTGCATTGCGGCCTCAATATGGGACGTTATTGAATATCTAAAAAATTTATAGGAATTAGCATTTCAATCAATTAAAAAAACTAATTCTACGACAATTCTAGGACTGGTTGAAAGCGCTTGCCCATTCTTCATAATTGTGTATTTGTGGGTTTGGAAAATTTCAACATTGCCATAGGCGAAGGTCACTTACTTAGATGCTTATTGAAGTAATTTATTTACCCGCTACTGTTATAATAAAAGTAGGCACGCAAAACATGGGCATACAGCCGCATGGAAATTCAAGTCAACCGGGGAGGGGGGGGGGGCTATTGTTCCGTACTGCCCCATCAAGAAGGAAAAACTGATCACTTCTAATGAGAAAACAATATAAATTCACGAGAATGATCAAGATAGCCCATGTTCAGCAATTAATCATAAAGAAGGAATTATCAATTAAACCGAAACTATTTCAAGCAATAGCTTCTTCAATATCCTCTGTTAGTATTTCAACTCTACGATTTTTTAAAGATTAAAATATCGGGTTCCTAGCGAGAAACGTTTAAGGCTAGTGTGTGTCAACTTATAGATATATAATGGTTGCATTAAATTTTTCACTAAATCACACATTTCTAAGGATGTCTACAAGTGAGGGCAGAAAATTCTTTAAACAAAAGAGTATTTTATTGATGAATTTGAGAAAAAGTCATTGTCTATATATCAAGGATGAAACTTCAAAGTGAAAGAAAGCTATCAGGTCGGAGTGGGAGATGGCGCTATGGCATTGCATTGGCTATACGCTTCTCAGTGGGAGTGTGTTGCTTCTTAGAGAATAGGCAGGCCTTCTCCTAAAATATCGAAATAAAGCGTATACAGCAAATCAAGTGTCAAAGCCAGATTTAAGTTGTCGACTAATGGAAGAAAGATCGCATATGAAATTGAACGAGTTTAAATGCTAGGTGTCGTCCATTCTTCTTTATTGCAATGCACCACTTGACCAGTATAGTCTAATATTTACTTACAGCTTCGAAATCGTCCAGAACCTGGAAAAGTTTGGTTACTTTTGTTCACACATCTTATAGACCTTGTGTTCCTAACATTTGGCTGACTTACTTATGTGATGTTTCGTGGTAAAGATTTATCTAGTCCACGGTGCTGGCAGCGCGAAGAAATTAAGAGATTTTTCTATGTGCATTTGCCACGACTACAGTCTGGTCAAATTTGATGAAAATATGTCGGTTTTAGTCCTTATGACTCAAGCCCACCCTGCCACGTCTAGATGAACATATCGACTCAATTTTTTCTCATACTTTTTTTGTTACCCAAGTAACTCATAAACCGTCTTTTTATTTCCACGTTCATATACACGCGCCATTGACACGATTATCAATTATCCGCAAACGTGTTCTCCCCTCAGCTATTCTCTCGAATTGCCATCGAAGTTTATTCAATTCACTTTGACCTCTACAACTTTTGTTTTCTACATTTTGATTCTGTTGTTTTTGGCTGCTAGCTATTGCCATAGCTACTACGATCAGATTCCGATTCATTACTTTCTAAAAGGTGGTAACCAGTGGCGGCTTTTCCCTTTTTTAACATTAACTAGATAAGCATTCTAAAAAATGAATATCATACTGAACCAATAGCACTACGATCCTATCACTTTTGGTTGGTGACGACAACTGGAGGTCACCTAGATGAAAGCTGCAAAAACATGGGTTAGCAGTATTCTGGTATTTCAAAAGGGAGGTTCCACAATACTTTTCCGCTACTAAGGGGAGGTTAGGCAAATAACATAGGGGAACCATTTGCTCAAATTATTAGAAAAAAACCGTAAGAAAATTCACCTTTTAAGAACATATGTTTAGGTTCAGTTTGTGTCAAGACTCGGTGAAACAACCAATTCTGCTCGTGTGTTTCTTAGCAGATACACTATTCAACACAGCATCAAAGCAAAAAGGGAACGTGTCAGACATTGGATGCCACCTTCCTCTATCAGAGTTTTAGCACCATCAAGGTCACTCATGCCAATACTGGGGTTTATGATCGAGTTCTTGCAGTTCTTCAATTTCGATTAAAAACTTTCAAACGAGTAATATAAATTTATTCGAGCTCTATAATTAGGGCCATCTACAGATTTTGATGATGGGACTAAAGTATCTGGTTGAATCCTACCTTAGGTTAACTAATGAAGAATTATCGAAGAAACTCCCATAGCCATGGTTATATCTGTCATTACACTTGAAGTACTTGGGTAAATTGAATAGTATTTTGAGTTTTTATCTAGACAACAGATAGTTTGTACTTTTGCATCAATTTGTTACTGGGTCGAGGATTGGATCGATTAGGACAACATTATTCGGAAATCGATGGACGCCTAGACACTTCGGATTTGATGGGATGTGTGGAACAACCTATTAAGAATGGTTAAAACTGGGTGAAATAGTTACAGGCGAAGTTTATTGCTGTCAACAATGAAGAAAACTAAAACAGAAACTAAATGGCAAACATTTAAGTTTATTTAAACAAAAAATGTATATAAGGCGCCTATTATTCGCTGCAATCTGAAAATTTTTTCGCCTCCTCTTCTTATGTCATTTATGGCTTTTCAGCTCTAAATTATGATAAATTTACCTCAGTTTCTCCGTGAGATAGTGCTGAAATTGATTTATATGGTAGGCACCTCTGAAACTCATTCTGATTATGTTGTTGATACTGATGATGATCAATTCTATTATTACCAATCGAGTTGCTCGAATTTAGTGGCCCTGGTGATATAGTGGACGCATTTGTAGATGGTGTGAATGTCATTGAGGCAGTGAATAGGGCTCCAGATCCTCCTATACCTTTCGCGACAGGAGACTGTTGACTTTCCATCGTTCTTCCTGGTGTAGAAGTTCGAGAGTATCCCACCGATCCACCAGTTCGTCTAACTGGAGTTCCATCTCTGCTACTGGCACCACCGAGAGGTCGATTGGTGAACCGCTTTGAAGGGGTATCTGGTGGTTGGTGTCTGTGATGATGGTCTTCAACTTGGAAGGAGGCTGAGGAAGAGAGGAGGGTTTTCGGACGTTCTGGTCTTTGCAGAAGGCGGTCAAGAGATGGAGGAGAGAGGGAGGCTTTTCTTGCAGTCGAAGGATTCTAAGATTGGATTGATTGAAAATCGTTCATAAGTCCATTAATTGGACTTGAGGTGTTATAATAACATCAGGATTTAGTCGTCATAGACTATTTACGTTAAGGATGAGTTTGGAAGACTGCATACAACGAATATTTCCAATCAAAAGGAATACTAGACAAAATTTCATACATACCAGAAACGGAGTGTCTTAATAGATAGTGGAACATTAATAAAGAGTAAAACAATTTAAGTCAACTAAGTCATCACAGAGGGAATTCTGTATTTTTGACAATACTGATAGCAGAGTACTCCCAATTAAAATTAAATTAAGGGTTGTGATGTATTCACTTCAATATGTGCCTACTATTGATCTTTACTACACTTTATTTCATAATGTGTTTATTAGAACTCATTTTTTAAAAGTAATTTACCCTTCCATAGCCAATAAGAATAATTCAATTAACCCTTTCGAGCTCATAAAATTGATTCTGGTTTCTCTAATTCTCAAATAGCCCTTCATCGTCTCCAGTTTATTCTGATCTCAACCAAGGACGGCTATTTGCCATAACTTGATGTTAAACATACTCCATTTCTCATCTACGCGTGAGACAGTTGCTTCCTCAAAGCCCGCTTTCTATACAAAAAGTACTAAAATTTTGACAGACGTTCAAGGCGATGAGGTCATGATCTTTTAATGTGGACACCCTATCTAGAAATAGGGAATAATGAAGTTAATTCGAGAGTCATTCTTTAATTTCTGTCATTCCGTTTGATGGGTTAGGCAACAAAAGACAGGTTGAGGCGAACGTTAGATTAAAGCAAAATCTATAATTCAGACATAACATTAGAAAATCGTTACCTGTAATAACTTTCCGTTATTTCTAATGGGAGTGCTTTGTCTATCCTCGCAGAAATTGACATGTGGCTGCAGTCTATTGGATGATCCACGCCTCTCGTCTGCTGGAGGTTTATTTTTATATTTCCTTGAGCTAGACCCGTTTCCGCCACCACTCATATTATCAAAGGACGGACCAGAATTGTGTTGAGCCTGCTGTTGCTGTTGACACTCAAATTCATACGATGAGACCATGATAGATGTAGTATCTCGAGTTCCAGGAAGTGCAGACGATGCGAGAGATGAATCACTTACTGCTCGAGATGAAAATCCGCCCAGATCTCCCTCATCGGAGCATTCATCTTCTTCCCCAGAGCCATCACACCCACACCTAGGTCTTTCGAACTCGGGTCTCCGCCGCCTCTGCCGTCTACAGAGGTCACATTGAGTTCCCGCAGGCTCCACACTAAAAACCGGGCTCGCTGAACATCTATGTCGAAGGGCAGATTTCTGTTTATAAGGATCGAACGACCTCGCTTTCTCCGCATATCGACGATTTTGCTGAATGGAACAGTAACTACAACAAGACTCCTTCTCAACATTTCGAGCTTTCTTTTTCTCTTTTCGACGCTGAATCATTGGGGTGTCGATATGAACTTCTTTGGATGCTCCTAGTTGTTCTAGAGCCCTCATGTGTTCCCAGCAGAGTTGAACATGACCTCCACCGCCGTCACACGAATTACTTGGCAGGGTTGATCGTTTAGTACTTGATGAAGGGCCGAGTCGATTAAAGGGACAAGTCCTCCGTCCATGATGCGGACAGTGCTGATGGCGTTCGTAGGCATCACTGCATAGTGTAGTCGGAGTGCGTGTTATACGCTGAAGTCTTTGATTAAATTTATAGTCCTCGTAGGAGACATCAGAGCTTGAAGAACGTGCAGAAATATCTGTTATCGATTTCCGATTGACAGAACTCAAAAGTGGAGAGTCGTTCTAGAGGCAACCACATTTTAAAATGGATATTTTTAAAATAAAAGTTACATTAAAGAATAGTAATTACTTCAAGATTCTCATATTCTCCAGCATGAAGATGACCACTCCCACAGGTTCTGTCGAAGGCGTGAATGAATGCGACTCTTGGAGTTCCAGCTTGACTTTGAGGTGAATTCATGAAGGTCTTGGATCGACTAAATCCGTTCCCGCTGCTATTATCACTTCCTACGCGGCGATCTGTAGATGATCCACGAAGGGGTGGCTCAAAATCGGACACCTCCAATTTTGCTGGGCTTCCACGTTGCCCTGGTTGACGGTGGAAATTGTCTATGTGAATAAATGATAAAAGGTGCCAGGTACATTATTTTTTGTTTACTTTATAGGTGATTGTACAAATAATCTTCACTGCAGGCAGGATTGAGACATGCGCATATTGAGTTCAAGAAACGATTTCCCAATCTGTCCTAAATGCTGATCGATGTTAATGATCCGCCCATACAAACTGGAACAAGCAGACCATTCAAACATCAGGCCCTGTATGAGATAACTCAACGAGACGTTTGCAATTATTCACACGTCTAACAAATTTTGGTAGATATGGAGAGTGGAGGGCTCAAGTTGCCAAACTTAATTCTGTGGACATTAGTTAGTTTCAGGAGGTATTCATCATTTGCTGAGGCACCTTTTTTACCATATGTCATGGAGGTTGAATAACTGAGCATTCATGGGTGAGAAGGTTAAACAGAAGTCACGCTCGGGCTTGCTTTATCATTCATTTAGAACCCCTAAAACAATTGATTTGATTATTGACTGAAGACTCGTTGATTGCTGGTCTGTTTTCGATAAGGAAATAATTTTTTTCTCGCTTGTAAGATGAAAGTTATCAAAATTTTTTTTGCTACAAGTAAAATTTTCTCCCAGTAGTAGAATAGAGTACTTAGGCTCATCTCAGTTCCATGTTTAACCAACCTGGGGTTGCAGATTTACACATTTCATGAGCAAGTCTGGCTCCTCCACCGCCCTTTCCACCACCACCTCCTCCAAATCTTTGGGGTTGATGATGGAAAGAGTTCGACTTGGCGAAAGCACCCCAACTACCCTGTTGAGAACAATTCGACGAAGTCATAATGTCACTGTTCGTAGTGCAGGAGTCTTCGTGATGATGATGTCGCTTTCGATTGTTATGATGATTGTGGGTGTGACCACATTGCTGGTGACTGTGCTGGTAGTTAGTTGAGAAATGTCCGGCACGAGCACCATCCACCTCAGAAAGAACTCTGAATGTAGCATTTGAGTCGTTGTCTGTAGTGCTATGAATACTGGTTTGCTAAAAAAGTACAACGGCATTTGCATTAAACATTGGGGAAAAACCAAAACTAAATCTTTCTCTCCCAGGGGCATGATGACCTTGAGTCGTGTCCGCAGAACCCCATTTTGGGAAACTATAACCAGAGCTTCAGCTATTTAATCGAAGATTTAGGACTAACGCTACTAAACACTGATATGAGCATAGAGCAGACTGTCTAAATGGTATAGATGAGAAATCAACATGAGATTAGCTTCTAAGCGAAAACAAGTAAGATTCTAGTGTTATAATTCGAAATTATTACGACGATATGGTCGAAGAAACAAGTCAATTTCAAAACCTTAAATGGAGAAGGCATACAAAACCACCAAAATGTAATAATCCTCATTGAAGACAAGTATCTTTTCTAAAATTATCAAGGGCATCACCGCACTGAGAGTGCAATGAACCACGAAGAGCACAACCCCGCACTTATCTTGCTAAAACTATTGATGAAATTTTATTCCCATTCAAGTGAATCTACGGAAATGCTTGAAGACGTGATCATGCACTCATTGTCAATGATCTCTTTACTGGCAATCATTCTCCTTTTCACAACTTTTGTCCAAACTTGTGACTAACCTCCGCTAAACTCCTACATGAAAGTAAAACTATACCCACTGAATGTCGGATTACACTATGCCCTAATGAGGATACTTGACGAAATTACCTCAATCCTTCATTCAATATCGAACAGATCCCAATGTACCATTCAGCATTATGAAAAGTTAATCCAATTCATATAATTTTCACGTCTACGTCTGTACTCACATTTGAGCAAGTTAGTGAAAATCACTTTAGAATAAATTCTGATTTATTAAGATTGAGACTCATGAGTTAGAGTTAGACATCTTCAATTCACTTGATCTATTGCAATCAAACTAGGGAAATAAAGGTATTCAAAATAATTGAAAACTATGACAAAAGCCCACCATTTGAGTAGCTCCACAGTTGCAGCCATGACTACATTGAAAGGCACAAGCGTTGACATAGTCAGATGAATCAGAACCATGAAGACCTCTGGCATTTTGATGAGCGCAACGCGATCCATGCTTTCCCCGAAGGCCACTAAAGATGCATTTTAGGATATATATAATTAAGCAGGTATTGCTTTGAAGAAGCCCAATGCATTAAAACGCAGACTAACTCATGACAAGATCCCCGGGGTCCGTATGACTCATTTCTTCTCTGAGTATGTGTCCTTTGAGGACAACCTCCACCTTCAGCCTGCTGTCCAGATGTATTCATTCCTGTGTTCGAGTAATTTCCATTTGTGAAAACATTTGATCCACCACTACTGTTATTCGTCGCAGAAGTGTGAAGCTCTTGACTGGCGGCGAGATTTGGTGTGCTCATACTGTTTGCGTGGAGAGATTGTTGTAGAAGGAGTGTCTGACGATACTCTGCAAGAAGACGATGGACCAGGGCGGTTTCCTGAAATGGAAAATATAGAGAAGCATTAGTTGGCTATTTACATAAGTCTAGTCGAAGAAGTGCCTTGCTAAAAATTCATCTGGGATCTTTTATTGTGAATCAATCTGATCTGAATTCCCTTCTTCGACATCCAAGACATACATGGTCGAGCATTTCCATCCATAATGTGATATTTTTACTGGAGTTGGTCCAGAAAGTCCCATTTTTCCTGTTATGATTTATTTACCTTCTAGATAGTGTCAAACGGTAGTTGACTTAGATCTGAACGAAAGCTCTAAAAGTAGATACAAATTATCACCATAGTGTTGGGAGTTTGGAAACTAAAGCTACCACCAGATTGGTAGAAGTTTGGCCCAAATAACTGTCAAGGTCTCCGGAGCGACTGGTGTCTGCGTATTGACAGGGGTTCTGGACGACTTGGAAATAATCTGTGGGATGAATAAACCAGATGCAGAAAGGCACTACATCAGCCTGTGTGTTTTTTTGTTGGGATCTAATCGGATAACCTATATTTTAGCGTTATCCTCATTCATAAATTCGTCATCCGCCACTGTGCGGCCGCGGTTAATTAGTGTTGGGTGCAAAATGACATTATCCCATACCCCCTATATCATGAGCCAGTGACTAAATCTCTACCGAGAAATTTAAACCAGATAAAGTTCACAATCTCATTGGTCCAAACGGAAGCATACACTCATGGAGGCAATTTGTGAAACAATGAGGAAACTAGCACACTTAAATAATAATTACCTTGTGTTCTTTGTCGCATCTCCCATTTCTTGTTTTTTTGGTCATTATTTTCACTTTTCGTACATCTTGTAATCTGTATGTCCTTTATCTATAAGATATTCCCAAATAAAGACTTAGTGATATCAATTTACTACAATATGTAAAACTGTGAAATCCTTTTGCGTAAACAACATATCATGGTCTGTTATTCTATTAGAAAAGATATTCCACTATGCCTACAAGTCCAATGAATGCAGTTCAAAGTAATGCCATCGGTCTTGCAGATAAGTCAGAATATGATAATAGGATATTTGTAGAGCAAAAAATCCCCCCTGAGCGTTTTAGCAAATTTAGACGGATGAAAAATATTTATGAAACAAACCCTCATTTTCGTCAAATTCAACAACTGATGAATATCAGAGTTTGTCAGCAAATGCAACGGTCCACCACTTCCAGACAGTGATCGCTGTCTCTGTTGCTGCGGAGGAGATTGCTTTTGAATAGGAGTGACAACAGCTCCCGTCTTTCCAGACACTCTATTACCTCCATTTCCACCCCCACCACAAACTGAGTAAGACATAGTGCTTGATGAATCATCCTCTTTATCCATTCCTCCTCTCATCATCATCATCATTTCATCTTCCACGATTGAAGATGCTGGACTCGACGGTGAGGAAGAATTCGAATGGACAGTCGCAGCAGCCTTGACTGCTTCAACGACTCCTGCAGAAGAAGTCGATGTTGAAGTTGATGATGACGTCATTGACGATGAAGTCATTGCCTGCTGAGTTTTCATTGCTGGAACTATCAACTCCCCATCATAGTACCCTCTCTGCTGTTGTAAATGTTGACCATCTGGAGTATTCAACTGGTTAGTCCATACTCCCGGATGTTGTACCAGCCTCCATGAAGATTCCTCCTGACTACTTGGTGGACTAGGTGGTTGAAGGCGGATTTGTAGCCGTGCTTCGGGAGGTACTTCATAGAGAGAGTGATGAAGTGGGTAAGATGATGTGGAAGAGGGCATATTTGTCGAGGTAGTTCCAGACGATGTGGGGCCCGCTGAAGCACCTCGGTAGGGTGCATTGGGATTACATCCGAGCCCTGGGTGTCTGGAAGGTGCACCTCCCGGAGGAATAGGTGGTCTCGAGGGCCTTCGACGAGACTCCTCAAAACTGCTTCCAACTCCACTTTCCTGCGAATGGGTTGATGGTGGTTCTGAACGAATAACTTGAGCGATTCCAACTGACTTTGGACCTCGTGATAGTAACTAGGCATAAAACATAAAAAACGAAATGAAAATATAAAAAAACTATAATAAACCATTTCTTGTCAAATTTTACATACTAAATGCTAAAAATTCAAACCCAATGAAGTGAACAAGTGTGTCAAATATAAATGGATGCTAATGACCTCACCAGGTTATTTTCGATCTTTTATAAGTAATTTACACGAAGAAGAGCTAGTCATTTTCCAAGGTTCTGAGGATGTCATCATGGAGTCCAAAACACATGTAACAACAAATGAGTTATGTGAGACCTCTAGCATACTTATTCTCCATCCTTTCTGACCCGTTACTTATACGCTCAGACTCTTATTTAATCATATTGTCCTCAATTCCTTAAGTATCATTGCCAAAATAGTACCAACGTAATAAAGCGCTTTAAACACACCTGCG